CGCCCAACCCTGCCCAACCCCGCCCCGCTGCGGGTCGTGCAGCCTAGTGCGGCTACGGACTTCCCTCCGGCCCCGCGCCCCGGGTTGCGGTCGTCGGCGAGGAGGGGAGAGCAAGTGCGCGCGGCGGCCGCGGACAGAAGAAAGGGATGAAAGGTTGAAAGGTGCGCTATGCCGTTTCCACCGCGGCCCAGCCTGCTGGCTCCCTGCCAGGGCAGCAGGCGGTTCCAAAAGGGCTCCCGCCCCACCACCACCCTCACCTCTAAACCCTAAGGGGGAGGGGTGTACTATTCGTTTGACGCCGGCCTTTGTGCTGACTCTGTTTTCGCCCCGATCAAAAAACCGAGCTTCAAATGATGCGCGCGCGCAAACGGCCGACAGCACACGACTTGGGAAATAAAAAAAAAGAGACAAAAGCGACAGAGTCCGAGAGAGGCGCGGACGAACAAGAACAAAAGGATGGGGCAGCGACAAAAATGGACGCTTTGCAAAAAGGGTCTTGCTGTGCCGGTCCGACCGCCACTTGTCCAGCCCGCTCCAGTTCGCACCAGCGCGCCGGCACTGCCGCTGTCGTCTGTGCGTGGCCAGGGCCAGGACGAGGTCTATGGGGTCCTTGTTGTTGGGGTGGAATAGACAGCTCAAGCAGAACCCCTGGTCCTTACAGACACCCCCCCCCCCGCCAAAAAAAGAGGGAAATGAAAAGGTTCGCACGGAAATGTTTTACTGGCCTTAAAAATATCCATCACAACATTTTTTTCACCGCGGCCAGCGCTTCCCGTTCAAAAGTCGTTCTTTGAGTGCGGGGGCGTTGCCGATGCAGCGCCAGAGCCGAGCCGGCCCAGCTTGGGCGAGAGAAGGGACACTTCTCGTTTGTGCTGCAGTATTCATGGGGCCCTGCCAGGGAGAAACTTCCTGCCGCTGAATGACTGATTCGACAGGAGGAGCGCGCCGTCGCCGCCGACGTCCTGTCCAAGAGGAGTCTAGTAGTTTCGGCGGGGATGGGTCTCGAAATCTCGCGCATTATTTATTTCATTTATTTTTACTGGCGCCCCGTCGCGTCCTAAACTTCCTGCTCGTTGGGCATCACGTCAAAGCCGCTGCTCCCGGCCTCGTCCCTGGCGGCGCGGCGGCCTCGACGGCGGCCTTGGCCGTGACTCAAACTTCATCTCGGGCTCATTTCCGGTCCGGCTCGGCGCCTTCGGCTCAACATCCTCGGCCCCGGCCAGGACACCAAAGCCCCCATCCCACAGAGCGGATGCCCCTCTGCCTCGGGGCCCGCGGGCGGGGCGGGAGGGG